TGTTATTATTATTATTATCTTTAATTAGTCATGAATTTATGTTGTATCTATCCAATATGTAACTGTTGAGAATTAGTAATGTAGAAATGTTCACGTTGGTAAGAGTGATCGACATTCATTTGCTTTTGTTTTATGTTATGATAAAAGTTCTTCTCATACAGTATGGCTGTTAAGTGATATATATAAGTACGATACAAAGAAAATCAACAGGTTATTGGCCCAGATTTGCTCACACATGCATACGTACACAAAAAAACGAAAAATGGCAGCCACAGAGAGACGAGATAATGCATCTGCCAAAACTGAAGGACGCTGACTCATTTCCACTGTGGGATTTTGAAATCAAGATTCTGATGCGTGCAGAAGAACTGATAAACATCGTTGATGGCAGCGACTTGTTAAGTGACCAAGGAAGAGACAAAGAAAATACAAGGAAATGGAAGATGCGAGATGCAAAGTGCCAATACTACATAGTGAGAAGGATAGAGAAGACCCACATTGTGACATGCACAACCGCGAAAGAAATGTACGACACCTTGAAACAAATTTATCAGCGAGACACCTCTCAACAGAAGTGCCTTCTGGTACAAGACTTATACACCTTCAAGTATGACAAAACTAAGGATATTATGACGAATATAAGTCATGTGCAGAACATTGCCTTCAAGCTTCGTCAACTGAACCCAAACGTTGATGAAAACATGACCATGACAAAAATAACAACGATTCTACCAGAAGACTACAAACACTTCAGCACTGCCTGGGACTCAACGGCGACTGTGGACAGAACCCTTGACAACCAGGTGGCCAGATTGATGTTGGAAGAAGTGAAGTGCAAGATGACTAAATAAGAGGAAAGCATAGCCTTTAACAGCACTGTGGCCAGTTAGAAAAATAGTAGTAGTAGTAGTGGTAGTGGTAGCAGCAGCAGCGGCGGCGGCGGTGGCAGCGGTAGTGGTGGTGGTAGTAGTAGTAGTAGTAGTAGTAGTACAGGTACAGGGAAACCCCCAGATATGGCTTCTTTTTCTTTTTGGAATACTGGACTTTAATCCCGAACTGAGGAAAATCTTAAATGAAAATGGAGGGGTTATTTAGCAAAGCTGGCACTAGTATCTTACACTGTAGAGCAGTGGAACATAGGATGTTAATTGGAAGAGATTTTGAAGGAAGCAGTCATATCTTTATTGAGGTACTATCCTACCATTGTCTGGAAGGTCTGAGGAAAACCACAAAAATCATCAATCAAGGTGACCAGTGTCCCAGCAAGATTATGAAACAAGTACCCCCCAAATACAAGTTTAGAGCTTTGCATCTAGAGCAATCTGTTCGATGCTAAATTCAGCATTTGTAACTTTACTTGGTATAAGCCGACTGGTTTCTATATCTTAGTTTTGCCACAGAAGGCAAGGAGTTTTTCCTTTCTGGTACATAATGTTCCAGCACTCCATTGTGGCCACTGTCCACTTGGTCTGAAGCAGCAGGTCTTGCATAAGTATAGGAACTTTTGGCTTCGGCGTGTGCTCTAATCTATATTGTTCAATTTTGCAGGAAGGGGCATCTGTGTATGTTATAAGCAGAATAAATGATGACTGGTTATATGGAGAGAGTAATAGAAAGTATGGACACTTCCCAGCTTCATTTGTGGATCACATTCCGTCCATCTTACCTCAACATACCAACTAATTAGGAGGAGATTTTTTGTACAATGAAGACACATGGAACAGTGGTGCAGGTAGAATTGAATAGTATTGTGTGAATATAATTTAAATTATTTTATT